TCCGGGCCCCGGGCGCCCGCGGGCCAGGACGCCTCCCGCCGAGGAGCGGGGGCAGCTACATCGCGGGGCGCCTGGTCGGCGGCGCCAAAGCCAGGGTCACAAGGGCAGGGGGCGGGAGGGGGGGGGGGTGCGGGAGGGGGCGAGAGACCAGGGCAGAGGTCAGCGCCCGCCGCGGGCGCTTTCACGCCGCGGGCATCGCCCGCCCGTCTTCGGCGCCCCCGGCGCAAAGCAGGAGCGCAAACTCTGCCCGAGGCTGCGACGGCTGCGGTCGGGGCTCACCCGGGAGCGACTAGGTGCCCGCGGCCGCCCAGCTGCCTGGACCGCTCCCCTCCCCGGGATGTGCCCCCAGCCCAAGGCAACCCGCCTAGGCGCTGGGTCGGCTACTGAAGTAGGGGTTTCTCGGAAGCCGGCGAGCGGAGAGGAGGTGGAGGTGGAGAAAAAAGGAGGAGGAGCAGAGTGGGAGGAGGAGCCGCCGGCCGCGGGCCCAGCCGCGCGCAATGCTCTCCAAGAGCGCGCCGAGCCCAGCCCCGGCTCTGCAGTCCGCGCCAGCCAAGCGTCCGCGCCTTTTCTACAGCCGCGCCTGACATCACGTCCTGCCGCCGCGCCATTGGCCGCCCGGCACCCCGGGCCCTGGCAGCGCGTGCTCCGGGAAGGCGGGAGACCCGAGAGGGAGGGGAGCAGCTAGAGGAGAGGAGCGACGAGATGGTGGGAGCTGGTGGGCGAGGCTGGAGGGCGGGGGCGGGAGGGAGGAGGGAGAGCGCGGGGTTTAGAGTTTTAAGCTACAGTTTCCTGCGATTGCTTCGGGAAGGAAATTTAAACCCTCTTTCCCCGCCGTCTCCATCCTATGAAGGCGCAGCCGCCAGAGGATGCTTGAGGAGGTCTCACTCTGGTCTCCCCTCGGCCCGGAGCCGCCCCTCGGGCACCGGCTGGGGAGGCCTGGGAAGGCAGGCCTTGGAGCAGGGCTGGGAGAGCCTTGGGCCGCTTCCCGCCGAGTTCTGCCTTCGGCCCAGGCTCCGCGCCGCGGGCTGCGGACTGCCGCGCAGGAATCCCGCGGACCCGGCTGAGCCAGAGAGGCAAGAACCGGTGGGAGCTGTGGCTCCCGGGGAGTGGGGCCAGTCAGCTTATCCTCCCTTCAAGTGAGCTAGGGCCCAATTAATGGTCCAGCATGCAGCTCCTCGCTCTTCCCGGTCTCCCTCCAGCCTGGAAGAGTGGGTGCGAGCATGGCTGTAGGAACTAGGAAAGGCATGGGTTTGGATCCTAGTTCTGCCATTTACTTGCATTGTAACCTTAGGCAAGTGACTTAACTTCCCTAAGTCTGTTTCTGATCTTTAAGTGAGGGACAGGAAAGCCCTCTCTCCTTGGATGTGATGAGTGAAAGAGATCACGGCTGTAAAATGCCTGGAACATAGTAGGCACTAAGCAAATTCTTTCATCACTTCCTTTTCCCTCTCCCCCCTTTAAAAACTTTCCCACTCCGAGCTACATTAGGCATCAGTGAGGTTCTTAAAAACCACAGGCCCATTCTCTGTCCGCTGGGTGCCTCATGCCACAGACCCAGTTACTGAAGGGCATCCATCCTGCCTCCTGGCAGCACCATTTCTCCACCAAGCTGGCCTGCCGCATAAATCCCAACTGCCACCCCAGCCCCCAGACTTCAGGCTCAACCAAGAATCTCTTGGGAGCGATACCCGGGTGTGTGGTGAAGCGGGATTTAGGAAATAAAAGGTGATTGTAGAGAAAAACTGAATGAGCTAGTCAGTTATAGAGTCCCATCTCCTGGCTCTGCTTTGGAGGCGGGTTAGTGT